CCAGCACTCATTTCATGTAGTTGTTGTTGTCATCATCGATTTGTATTTTATGAAAAGTTAACATGCCATCTAGATAAATTATTTTTTGCTTTGTTTTTTCTTTGTGTTGCTTTGCTATCATTTTTAGCACATTTTTGTTTTTTAAAATGAATAATTGTTTGAAATCATTAATTTTTTTTGTCCAATCATTTTGATATTTCTCTTAGATTTTTACTTAATAAAAATTTTCAAAATGTGCAACAGTCTGAAAAATGTTGCAAAAGTTGAAAAAAAAAAATTATTTCAAAAAATTTATTAAAATATTGCATACATTTAGGATGCAATATTTGCATTATTATGCATGGCCTTAAATACGATTGTAGTTTATTGTAGAATTATTTAAAAAATTATGTATTTTTTAAAAAAATAAATATGATTTATGTCTTTAAGGCGATAATTTGTGAGGAATCAATACTAAAAATATTTTAATATTATAATTAATTTCTAATAATTATCGTATTGTATAGTGTGGTAAAATTTCTCTATAAAATATGTTTTCAATTAATAATTTGAAATCATTAAATTAATCAAAGAAATTAATCGGTATTTAAGAAGATTATAATTACTACTCGTAGTATTAAATTTTAAGTTTTTATACTAAAAACCAATAATATAATTATAAAAATTCCATAACTTTACAACTTACTTTATAACTTACATTTATCACAGTAATACTTTATTATTATATACACCATTTTGTATTTGCAACTTATATGCTGAATCGTTTATAAATTATTGCTTGCAATACAATTGCTTGAAATTTCTAAAATTTTAGTCTTAAAAAAAACTTGTATAACACTTATTACAAGTTTTATACAAGTATAACACACACTTATTCGTGTTATACTTCTATAACACTTATTTGTTAAAAATTATATTTAAATGATAAGTGTTATGCTTGTATAACACTTATTTGTTAAACATTATATTTAAATTATAAGTGTTATACTTGTATAACAATTATTGTTATACAAGTATAACACTAATTTAATAATTAAATATAACAATTGTAATTATGAAAAATAATTGTGAAAAATTATAGTTATAGATAAGTTACGGTTATAGTTAAGTTACGGGTGTAGTTATACTCATAAATTATAAAGTGCCCTCTATTGATCCCTTATTTTGTTCATTTACAATTTTTAATATAAATTTTAATTGTAATATTTTTTTTTATACATATTTTCTTTTCATTAACATATACAAATATACTTACTTATACACCAATATTTTTATAATAATTCCTTTATATTGTGGTTGTGCTTTTTTTTTTTTTTTGTTAATTTTACTTTAATTTTATTTTAATTTATTTTTAATATAATTGTATGTGTATGTATTTAAAATTTTACGTGCAAGTATGTATATGTAAAATTTGTATATTTATATGATACAGATGTTCGTTGAATAATTTTTTTTTCCAATTCACATTTTTAAAAAATATAAAATAAATATACAAAAAACAACAATGAAAAAAAAAACGAAATTAATGCAGTTACAATTTAAAATAAAAATTAAAAAATGAAAACAATAAACGAAAAATAAAACAAGAAAATAATCATAAAATGATGCCTTGTTTTCATGTCAAAAAAAAATAAAATTAAAAAAAAATATTAAGCATATATTTAACATGTGTACATGTATATGTATTTTTATTATTAAAAAAAAAATAAACCAAAAAAGTCCTTGGAAAGCTCGAAGATATAATTTTAATATGAAAATTACCAACAATGGGAAAAAAAATGGATGAATTTTAAATTTCCTTTTTTTTTTGATTTTATTGTTGCTTCTTTTTGTTTATTTTCGTATAAAAAACTGAACTTTATTGGCCAATAATGGAAACTTAACGTAAAATGAAAAAAAAAATATCACTTTGAAATTTTATTTTTAATTTTTTTTTTTATATTTTTAATTTTCTTTTCTTTTTTTTTCATTTTAATATTAAAAATAAAGAAGAAAATTATCAATATAATAACACAATACAATATACAAATTGGAATCAGTTTAAATTAAGTACTGGCTGGATTGTGGTATACTTACACTTAAAAAAGTAGTAATATCGAAAAAATTTCAAAAGCTATACACATAAAAAATAAATTTCATATATAGAAAAAAAAATAAACTACTCCTAAATATTTTTTCTCCTATTCAAAACTTAGAAAAGTTTTTGGATCATAATATAGAAAAAAGTCAACAAAAAAAAGGAAAAAATTTCCGAATATAACAGTTTTTTTTTTCTCCGTGTTTTTATCTTTTTTGTTAGAATATAGAAAAGAGAGCCAATTAGATAGAAGCCTCTAAATTTTGAATTAGTTTAGTCCTCTAACACTAAAATATAAAGAGTAAATAATATTTGATATAGAAAAAAAAAAATAAAAACAATAATAAGCCGTATATTCGCGAATTATAATAGTTTTACCATATCGTATATTATGAACACATACGTATGCATTCATTCATCTAAATATATATACATACGTGTTGTAATACAAATAATATTCATCTAAGTATATAAAATATATGTTTATCTAGTTTATATTAGCTGTCTATTTCTATTTTGAGTAATAAAACAAAAAAAATATAACACTCATAAATAATTGTATGTATAGAGGATTTTCTCTCAAAATTTCTGATATAAACTCACTTAGATAAAATTATTGATGAAAGATTATAACAGACTTAATAATAATAATAAAAACAATATTATAATAATTAAAAAATAATAAGTGAAATAAAAAATATAAAGAGATGATTTAAAAAAAATTCAATTAAAAATTATTAGAATTTTTGAAATATTTGTGAAAAACTTTAAAAGAAAAAATTTTTATTCTTCTTTCTTATATAATAATATTCTCTTATAATAATAAAAAAAAATTATAATAATTTTAAATTAAAAATTAAAATATTGGAAAAGAAACTTAAATATTAATAAGAAATTTTTTAAAAAATAAAATAATCTATTTTATTCAAATCATACCAAATTAATTTGTATAAATTATATTTAAATTAAATTGTATATTTAAAAAAAAAAATTACACACATACACACGCAAAAAATAATTATAATTTGAAATTTGTCTATTTGTGTAATATTATAGTTTATACTTAAAGGATAAAAAATAAAAATTTAAGGAAAAAAAATAAAATAAAACAAAAATCGTGAGAGATGAGAGCCATTATTGAACAAGAATGTGAATATGATCATGTTAATGATGTATGTATTAGTGAGAAAAACAATTTCTTATTTGCCTATAATATTAGAGAAATGTATAGAATTATTTAGAATTTTATTTAAATTTTTATATTATCCATTCCGAAATTTTCACATTGTTTATGTAGTTATACAATTACTTTTTGGTAAACAGTCATTGATTACCTTATTGGTTACTCAAAATGTAATTCTTGGATTACATTTCTGTGGTGATATCCGAGAATCCAAGTAATTTATTACGTTTTGCATTACATGAGAGTAGTTAAATAAGTTGTTGAAATTTAAAATAAAATAAGTTGTTGAATTAAATCATTGTTGAAAAATAATGTAATATTTAGGGGCATGGGAGACATTACCCATATTATTACGAAAAAAATTGGGAAATAAACTTTCTTAATTAAGGCAATATATTAAAGAGGAAATTAAGATTATATATCAAATTTTTTGTAAGTAAGGAGATTTGTGGCTATTGGTTTTTATAAAAAGTACATATAAATTCCTATTTACCGTGCAGAGTGTTTGCAGTATTTAGTTCTATAAAACAAAATATATAACTCGTTACAAATCCATTTTTCAATACGAGTCATTACTCAATTTCCTACTGGATACTTACATATATATGATATATTTTAATATTTAATATATATATATATATATATATATATGTATATATATATATATATATATATATAAATATATTATATACTATATATATTGATACATATAGGGTATATTCTAATCTAGATTTTTAGATTTTAGATATGCAATGATATATATAATGTATACTTATAAAACTTTCTACCAAATATTTGAAAATTTGTAATATAAGTATAACAGTAAAAAAAAATTTAAAGTTTAATATAATATACAGATTTGCTCTTAATAACTGGTACAAATCTTTTAAATATTGACAAATTAAAACTTTGAGTACTTATTTTTCTCCCAAATTACTGAGGATTGCTAATCAAAACCATATGAACACATAAAGTGTTAATTTCTAAGCTTAGACGTCATGAGTTTTATTAATATTTAAAGAAATGTCACAGTTCGGTATTGCATTAAATTTGGAGTAGTAGGCTTCTTGAAACTATTTCAAAAAATTTCTTAAATTCGTCTTATTTTGCTTGGAAAAAGCACCAACTTGTTTTTGCTATTGCCTATTACAAAAAAACTTGGAATAAAAATTTTGAAATCAAGTTTAGAATTAAGCAGTTTTGTATGTGTGGTAGTATTATAGGTTGGCACAAACTTGATGGTTTTTGGGTTAGTTCTGTTCTGAGAGTTTTTTATTTATTCCTTGAAATTTTGCTCAAGTTGTACCGTTTTTGCTTGGTGTCGCTGAAATTAAGCTGTATTTGGATATTTTCATGGTATTCGGAATTTCTTGCATTTTGCTGAAACTTAGCCATTTAAAAGCGAATTTTAATTTAATTTAATTTCAAGTTCACTTGCCTTGAACATCAAAAAACCAAGTAAATAAAATTAATTAAGTTTCGTTTAATTTGGTAGGAACAGCAAAACAACTAAAATTTTACGTAATATTAGCAAATCATATTATTTGTTTACAAAATTATATCGATTTACTTTGTCATCAATCTGTCAACAAGTTCGAGACTCGATAAATTTTTCTGTTAAAAAAAATCATCTGCAATCAAATAATTCTTAATTTTTTTTGAAATTTCAATTTACTCTTTTAATTTTTATTAAATTTTTGAAAACTACCTTAATATTTTCTTTTTATTTTCTAATTATAGGCTTTGGATTTTTGGGATGTGGACCAGAATTTACCACAAGCTGTACAGTTATTAAAAGAAATGAATCAACATGTTAAACAAGTGTCCACATTAGTTGAGGATATGTTACAAAAAGTAAAAAATGGTGAATTGTCAACGGAATATGGTTTAAGCTTTTTAGAAGTTAAATATCATATGCTATTGGATTATTTAATTAATTTAACATATATTGTTCTACAAAAATGTTCCGGAGAAAAAATTGAAAATGATCCAGCTATTGATAGGTTAATTGAAATACGTATTGTATTAGAAAAAATAATACGACCAATCGATCATAAATTAAGATATCAAATAGATAAATTGGTCAAAACAGCTGTTACAGGTGCAACGAGCTCATCCGATCCAATTACATTTAAAGTAAATACAAAATACTTTTTAAAAATTATTCATTCGTTATTTTATAATTTAAATTGCGGTATTTTTTTTTTATTCTAGCCTAATCCCAATAATTTAATATCTAATACAGAAGTAAGTGAATCGAGTGATGATGATTCACAATCAGAATCGGATGAAAATGATGAAGATAATGAAAATGGTGAAACAGCAAAAAAAAGTGGTGGTAAAAAATCTAAAACAAAATCAAGTGGAAAATATGTTCCACCAAAATTGACAGCTGTACATTATGACGAAGAAACAGAAGCAGAACGTACGAAGAAATTAATGGAAAAATCAAGAAAACGGGCATTGACGTATGCTTCCTGTTTTTAGATATATCATTCAACCTATTTTATTTTATTTAACTAATTCTAGATCGTCAATGTTAGAAGATTTAAAAGAAGAATATTTAGATATACCAACAGAAGTGTCTTCAGGCTCTAGAGCACAACAAATATTATTAAAGGCACACAAAGAGAAACAAGAGTATGAAGAAACCTATTTAACACGTCTTCCGGTAACAAAAGCGGAGAAACATATGCAAAGGAAATTGACCACATTGGGTAAGAGATTTATTAAGATTAATTGTAAAGTACATAGCAAATTTCCAACTTTTTCGAGTTATAAGTTGGATTTTATTTTTTTCTTTTTGTAAAATTAACATGCAATTAATGTTAATAAAATTGAAATAAAAATTTTTTTTTTTATTTTAGGTACTCTGGGGGATGATATTTTAGGTGACATCAAAGCATTAGGCGCTTCCAGCAGTTCCAAAAATAAACGCAAGAAAACATCAGGGAAAAAACGTGGCGGAAAAAAACGAAAATTTCATTAAAATTTAATATTTAAATAATTAATTATGTATATGTATATATATTGATATATATATACAAATTTATATTTACAACGTCAACAATTTTGAAACAATTTTTTTTATATGACATCAACTGGGAAATAATTGAATAATGTCAACTATCCCAAGAATAGTATGAAAAATCAAAATATATCATGGATAAGTAACGAAAAAAGTTACAAGCCTACATAATAATAAAAAAAAAAATAGTTCCAAAAGTCTGAAGAGCACACTATATGAAAAGTTCATGGAAAGCAAAAGGATTAATTTTTTCAATTAATTAAGCTATAAAAAAAAACACTCAAATCTATTTTGAAAATAAAAAGTTGTGTTACAGACATTTTAACTATTATTAAAATTTTTTTACTAGTTTAAAGAAAAAAAAAATTAATTAATTAATTATAATTTTGTTAAGTTAACTTTGAAAATACTTTTTTTAATATTTCTTATTATATTTGTTTTCAATTAAGTTTTACATTTACAAACAAAAAAAAAAAATTGAAAAAGTTTTATTAAGTTTTATTAACTTGGAATTTTGATATATTATGTAACATTATTATTAAATGTTTCTTTTAATTTTAATTCACTATAAGTTATTTAATGGCACAATAATTATTATCTTTTGAGAAATATTAAATTATATAAATTAGATAAGTTTGATGACAGCTTAAATTAATTTAACAAAGGCAAATATAAACTAAACTTTTTATTGAAAATTAAACTTTAAAAATTTATTTTAAAATCTTCTGCGAATTTAAACGCGTTCAATATTAAAATAATTAATATTGAAATTCAAGAAAATTTTCAGAATTAATTTAAAGTCGGTTAACAATTTAATTTACTTACAAATTAATATGTACAAGTTGTAAAACATATATTAGCAAACATTAAATAATTTTATTAAAGCTGAAATTGTACGACCATTGAATATTATGAAAGTGGTAAGAAAAATAATTATTTTGCAAATTTAATACACAAATATTACGTAAACATTTAATAAAAAAAAAATCAGTAACTTAAAGAATAAATCGTAATAAAATTATAAAATATTAAATAACAGATAATTTTAAAATTAAAATCATAAAATTTTAAATTAAAAAGGTGTGCCATTAAATTTATTTTTTTTAAAAATGAAATTAGAATATTGTTATTTTACAATTTATATTTTTCTGTAATTTTTAAATTTGAATTTTTTTTTTAAATAATTAATTTTTAAATTTAGTTATATTATAATTATCATTTTTTTTTAATAAAGTTGATTTGATATAATTTCATAATTTATTGTTTTGTTTGATTTACTTTTTGTTTTTTTTTATAGAATAAACCTAAAATAATTTTTAAAATTTATATAAAAACATTTTAAATTCGTTTTCAACAAAATAAACTAAAAAAAATAATAATTCAGATTATTTACGTGTATTCTATGAATTTATACATATTTATAAAGTATACTTAAAACATGTATTATATAATCTGAATCCTAAAGCATTTTATATTTCATCAATATTAGTGTGATATGTCCGAAGAATAAAGTAAAATATAAAAAGCCAAAAAACCAATGAACAAAAAACCAAAAAAAATGAATTAAATACAAAAAAAACACAGAAAATACAAAACAATCCGTATCAAACATGGAAAATAAAATTGAAGCCTTTTTTTTTTTAATTTATTTTTAAAACATTAACAATTCAAAATTTATAAAATCAAAAAATAATTGAAACAAAATTGAATCCGTATCTGTATTTGTGTACTGTTTTTAGGAGTTTACAATAAGACCTGATATTTATAAAATTTTTATTTTAAGAAATTTTACAATTTTTTATTATTTTAAAACAAAAAAAAAAATGAAAACCAATATGTAATACAGAAATACAATCTTGTGTTATTAAACATGTAATGGTTATAAAATATACATATATATATAATTAAAATTGAATTGCTAAGTTGTCAAATACTATAATTTCTATAAAAGCAATTTTAATATTGTATTTAAATATAAAATGGAATATTTAATATTGTTTTAAAGCAAAAATAATTCAAATTATATTTATTATTTTTTAAATTAAAAAATGAATAAGCCTTTTTGGTCACTTTTGAAAAATCTTTTTCCAAAATCTTTACATTATATTTTTTAGTAAAATTTTTTTGTATCAATAATCAGTAAATGCAGTTAATTAATTTAGTTTTTCTTTAAAATTTTAACAAAAAATTATAAAAATTTACTTATATTGTAGTTTAATATAAGTAAATACGTCAACGTAACTATTTAATTTATATTTTTTAATTCATGTTTATTTTAATATTTTATTTAATTTATTTTAAATAAAACATTTAAATTGTTACTGCTATTACTTAGTATTAATAAGAAAATTGAAGATTTATTAAAAACAAAACAGGTATAAATTAATTAATTATTTAATTGAATCTAGTTGAGATTTACTACAAAAAAATTATTATTAAAATTTTAAGTTTAACTACTATTTTCCAAAAACGGTTCTAAATATTTTTTTTTACAATATTCACATTAATTTATTAAGTTAATAAATTATTAACTTAATTTTAATAGATTATTAAAATTTATTAAATTTCCTTATTGGATCAATTTTCTTTTTTTTTTTTCTTTTAGTCCATATCAACTTATTTAAATAATATGTTGCATAATATGAATTTACAATAAAAAAACAAAAAATTTCATAGTAAACACATAACTATTATATAACAGGAAAATTTAAATATATAATATAAAAAATTCTTTATATACATATATATTTAAAACACAGTATTGAATTGGAATTCCTTATAAAAAGTTGCCTTAATTACATAAATTAATGAAATAAAAAAAGAAACAAACAAATAAAAAAAAAAAAACATTAAAATATAAAAAAAAACGAATCAAATAAATAAAACATACAAGAAATGCGAACCAAAAATAAAACAAAAGAAAAATTAATATTGAGATTTCAATTCAAATATGAAAATTTTTATAATTACAAATGGAAGTTTTTAATCAAACCTAATAAAAAAAAATCAAAATAAACTCAGCAACAAAAACTCAATAGTTATTAAAATATTTAAAATAAAGCAAATTTATATTTTAGATGAAACGAAATAGCAGGAATTTATTTTACACAAAAGCCAAAGAATCAAAAACCATAGAATTAATATTAAAACATTAATTAATAATAGTAAAGAAAATAGGAAAAAAATAAAAAAAAACCGAAAAAAAAAATACAAATAAATAGAAAACCAAAAAAAAGTAAAACCATTAATATTTTGAAATAGTTAAAAAAAATATAATTCAACAATTTTTCTTGGTTTTTTTTTTATAATTGTAAATAAGTCCACGTAAAATTTAAATAATTAAATTTAATAATTAAAAATTCAATATACTGTTTTTTTTTCTCATTTTTAATTTTTTTATTATATTGAATATTTTATTTTAACAATAGAATCAAATTTAAACAACAATTTTTACAAAACAAATTTACAAAAAGTCCAATATACATTATTAATAGAAAAATAAAATATATTTAAAATATGAAAAAAAAATCGAATTGAAAACCACAAAAAAAATTAAAAAAATAAATGAAAATATTTTTGTTTTTATTTTTAATAAAAATACAGAAATAAAGAAATAGAGAATAGAAAAAAAAATTAATTATGATATCTATAAATAAATAAAAACAGCAATAAGTACAACTAATTCTAAACAGATCTCATTAAAAATGAAATAGATAATGGAATTATTTTAGTTAAATTTTATTATTTTTACTTTTCAATGTAATATACAATGCATATATATATATATATGTACAATATATATATATATATATATACTTAAATACATTAATTGTTTCTTTAATATTAATCTAAGAATATCCATATTATACGAAAGTAATATAGTTATATATTTATAGACAATATTGCAGAATTATTTATTTACAGATAAAAAAAAAAAAAAAATAGAACAGATAAAAATAGTTTTTTGTGTTTTCTATATTGAAATTGAAAATCTCAATATTAGTTTTTTATTATTTTTTTCTTTTCTTTTCAAGAAATATAATACAAAAACCAAATGAATTGAAACTAAAGTAAAAAAAAAATGAATGAATGAATAACATTTACAGGAAAAAACACAATTTTATTGTAAAAGAAAAGAATTTAATTTTTATTTAATTTTTAATAGACCTAAATCTAATGTTGAATTATGTCGAAAAAAAATTTTAAAATATTAAAATAAATATTTTTACATTACTACTTAAACAAGTGCCACAAAATTTCAATAAAATTTTTTATATCATTTTTAAAATTAAATAAATTCCTAAAAATAAATATTATATTTTTGAGGGATTATAATTCAAAAATAAAAAAATTATTTCTCCAAAATTAATTCCTGTCTATATTTTTCATCCTGAATTCGGTATATAAAATTATCTTATTAAAGGTAGTTCTTTTTAAGCGCAACATTTGATATTTTGAATTCAAATATGGAACCTAAATATATATAGTTTATAGAAAAAGTAAAAAATCAACTTGTTTAAAAGAAAAATAACTACCAAGATAATTAAAATAGTACCTATTTATAATTTCTTAATAAATTTTGCTTAACCAAGCAATAATCTATAAAACATTTTTTAAAAAATTGTGGCATTAAAATTTTATAGTCCCTCACTGTCTTAAATTAAATGTTTTGGAAAATGAAAAAATTAAAACTAAAAACAATTTCGAGTCAAAAATAAAAAATATAAAAATATAAAAATTTAAAAAATTCAAAATTAAAAGCAAAACAAAAAAAAAACAAATACGAAGTGGCAACTAAAAAAATTTTTTAAATTAAAAAAAATAAATTTTATTTTCATTTTATAATATCAAGAGAATATATTTAATAATATGATGTATTTTTCATTTTAAACAAAAATTTTCCTTCTTTAATAATTTTCATTTTACAATTATTATTATTATTATCATATAATTTTCCCTTTTTAAAACAAACAATAAAAATAGCCTCGTAAATATACACGCAACCAAAAACTCGCTAGCATAATTCATATATACAGAATTATGCGTTTTACAAATTGATATAAATAATAAATATGAATATTGTAAATATATATATATTAAAATAAAATAATAATAAAAATTATTAAAAAAGAAAAATAAAACAAAAATGAACAAGAAATCAGATTAAATTATAAAATTAAATACAAAATGAAAATGTATATTGCGTTTAATTCATAAATAAAATTTCAATATTATTATTAAAAGAAAAAAAAAAATAAACAAAATATTTAAAAACTGCAGTTGCAAAGCGAAATAGATATTAAAAATCAAATTGAATAATATAAAAAGCCCGAAAACAAATAAAATAAAATAAAACAAACAATTTTTTAAAAATTTATAATATTACAAAAACAAATTAAATAAAAGAAAAAAACCCAACCAAAATTAAAAAGGTATTTTTAAGCACACCATACAGAATCAATATTTCAAAAATGCTCCTAAAAACAGTTCTTTTTTATATAAAACAAAAAAAAAAAAATGTAAAGAAAAAATTAAAC